GGTCCTGGAGGTGGACCCCTCATGAATGACTTGATGTCATCCTGTGGGAAAGAGTGAGTTCTCATTCTATTAGTTCCTACAAGACCTGACTGTGAAAACAAGCCTGGCATTCGCCTTTTCTCTCTTCCTCCCTTTCTCACCATGCGATGTCTGCTCCCCTTTGACTTCTGTCACGAGTGGAAGTGATACGGTTTTTCTGTGTCCCCACCCAAATCTCAACTTGAATTGTATCCTCCAGAATTCCCATGTGTTGTGCGAAGGACCTAGGGGGAGGTAATTGAATCATGGGGCTGGTCTTTCCCATGTTATTCTCATGATAGTGAATAAGTCTCACAAAATCTGATGGGTTTATCAGGAGTTTTCGCTTTTACTTCTTCCTCGTTTTTCTCTTGTAAGAAGAGAAAAACCACCTCCATGTAAGAAGTACCTTTTGCCTCCCACCATGATTCTGAAATCTCCCCAGCCATGTGGAACTATAGGTCCAATTAAGCCTCTTTTTCTTCCCAGTCTTGGGTATATTTTTATTAGCAGTGTGAAAACGAACTAATACAGTAAAGTGGTACCAGTAGAATGGGGTGTTGCTGAAAAGATATCTGAAAATGTGGAAGCGACTTTGGAACTGGGTAACAGGCAGAAGTTGGAACAGTTTGGAGGATTCAGAAGAAGATAGAAAATGTGGGAAAGTTTTGGAACCTCCTAGAGACTTGTTGAATGGCTTTGACAAAAATGCTGATAGTGATATGAACAATAATGAACAATAAGGTCCAGGCTGAGGTGGTCTCCGATGGAGATGAGAAACTTGTTGAGAACTGGAGCAAAGGTGACAACTCTTGTTATGTTTTAGCAGAGACTGGCAGCATTTTGCCTCTGCTCTAGAGATTTGTGGAGCTCAGAACTTGAGAAAGATGATTTAGGGTATCTGGCAGAAGAAATTTCTAAGCAGCAAAGCATTCAAGAGATGACTTGGGGACTGGGTGCAGTGGCTCACGCCTATAATCCCAGCACTTTGGGAGGCCCAGGCGGGTGGATCACGAGGTCAAGAGATCGAGACTATCCTGGTCAACATGGTGAAACCCCATCTCTACTAAAAATACAAAAATTAGCTGGGCATGGTGGTGCGTGCCTGTAATCCCAGCTACTCAGGGGGCTGAGGCAGGAGAATTGCCTGAACTCAGGAGGCGGAGGTTGCGGTGAGCCGAGATCCCGCCATTGCACTCCAGCCTGGGTAACAAGAGCGAAACTCCGTCTCAAAAAAAAAAAAGAGATGACTTGGGTACTTTTAAAGGCATTAAGTTTTATAAGGGAAGCAGAGCATAAAAGTTGGGAAAATTTACAGCCTGACTAAGCAATAGAAAAGAAAAACCCCTTTTTGGGGGGAAAATTCAAGCTGCTGCAGAAATCTGCATAAGTTGCAAGGAGTCTAATGTTAATCTCCGAGACCATGGGGAAAATGTCTCCAGAACATGTAAAAGACCTTCACAGCAGCCCCTCCCATCACAAACTGGAGAGAAACCCCGGAGAAAAGAGTGGTTTCGTAGGCTGAGCCCAGGGTCTCTATGCTGTGTGCAGCCTAGGGACTTGGTGCCCTGTGTCCTAGCAGTTCCAGCCATGGCTGAAAGATGCCAATGTACAGCTCAGGCCATGGCTTCAGAGGGTTGAAGCCCAGAGTCTTGGCAGCTTCCACGTGGTGTTGAGCCTGTGGGTACCCAGAAGTCGGGAACTGAGGTTTGGGAACCTCTGCCTAGATTTCAGAAGACGTAAGGAAATGCCTGCATGCACAGGCAAAAGTTTGCTGCAGGGGTGGGGCCCCCATGAAGAACCCCTGCTATGGCAGTGCGTAGGGGAAATGTGGGGTCAGAGCCCCCACACGGAGTTCCTCCTGGGACAGTTCCTACTGGAGCTGTGAGAGGAGGGCCACTGTCTTCCAGACTTCAGAAAGGTCATTCCACTGACAGCTTGCACCGTGTACCTAGAAAAGCTGCAGACACTCAATGCCAGCCCATGAAAGCAGCCAGGAGGGAGGCTGTACCCTGCAAAGCCACACGGGCAGAGCTGTCCAAGACCATCAGAACCCATCTTGTATCAGCATGACCTGGATGTGAGACCTGGAGTCAAAATCATTCTGGAGCTTCAAATTTGACTGCCCCACTGGATTTCAGACTTGCATGGGCCTTGTAACCCCTTTGTTTTGGCCAGTTTCTCCTATTGGAATGGCTGTATTTACCCAATGCCTGTATCACCATTGTATCTAGGAAGTAACTAACTTGCTTTTGATTTTACAGGCTTATAGGCGGAAGGGACTTGCTCATCTCAGATACGACTTTGGACTGTGGGCTTTGGGGTTAATGCTGACATGAGTTAAGACTTTGGGGTTCTGTTGGGAAGGCATGATTGGTTTTGAAATGTGAGGGCATGAGATTTGGAGGGGCCACTGGCAGAATGATATGGTTTGGCTGTGTCCCCTCTCAAATCTCAACTTCAATTGTATCTCCCAGAATTCCCATGTGTTGTGGGAGGGACCCGGGGGAGGTAATTGAATCATAGGGGCTGGACTTTCCTGTGCAATTCTTGTGATAGTGAATAAGTCTCACAAGATCTGATGTGTTTATCAGGGGTTCCGCTTTTGCATCTTTCTAATTTTTCTCTTGCTGCCACCGTGTAAGAAGTAGCTTTCACCTCCCACCATGATTGAGGCCTCCCCAGCCATGTGGAGCTGTAAGTCCAATTAAACCTCTTTTTCTTCCCAGAGTTGGGTATGTTTTTATTAGCAGGGTGAAAACAGACTAAAATATGAAGTTCCTGAGTTCCTCATCAGAAGAAGATGCCAGCATCATGCTTCTCACACGTATGACAGAACTGTGAGCCAAATAGCTGGTTGCGGTGGCTCACGCCTGTAATCCCAGCACTTTGGGAGGCCAAGGCGGGTGGATCACGAGGTCAAGAGATCGAGACCATCCTGGTCAACATGGTGAAACCTCGTCTCTACTAAAAATACAAAAATTAGCTGGGCATGGTGGCTCATGCCTGTAGTCCCAGCTACTCGGGAGGCTGGGGCAGGAGAATTGCTTGAACCCGGGAGGCGAAGGTTGCGGTGAGCCGAGATTGCGCCACTGCACTCCAGCCTGGCGCCTGGTGACAGAGCAACACTCTGTCTCAGAAAAAAAAAAAAAAAAAAAAGGAACCGGTCTTTTTTCCTTTCCCTCTCTCTCCCTCCCTCCCTCCATCCCTCCCTCCCTCCCTCCCTCCCTCCCTCCCTCCCTCCCTCCCTCCCTTCCTTCCTTCCTTCCTCTCACACTGTCACCCAGAGACAGGATCTCACTCTGTCACCCAAGCTGCAGTGTAGTGGCATTATCACAGCTCACTGCAGCCTTGACCTCCCCAGGCTGAGGTGATCCTCCCACCTCAGCCTCCTGAGAAGCTGGGCCTACAGATACATGCTACCACGCCTGGCTAATTTTTGTATTTTTTGTAGAGACAGAGTTTCACTGTGTTGTCTCAGCAGGTCTCGAACTCTTGGGCTCAAGCAGTCTCCCACCTTGCCCTCCCAAAGTGCTGGGATTACAGTCCTCACTCATGCTACAAACACTGCCTTCTCTCTCCCTTCTGGAGCAGGATGCCTTTTCTCCTCCTGCCTTTGGACATTAGACTGTGGTTCTTTGACTGCTGGACTCTGTCACTTGCACCAAGAGCCCACTGGGAGCCCTCAGGCCTTTGGCCTCAGACTGGGGGTGGCATTGTTGGCTCCCTTGGTTTTGAGGCTTTTGGGTGTGTACTGAGCCACATTACTGGCTTTTCTCATTCCCTGGCTTGCAGACAGCCTGTCCTGGGACTTCGCCTTTGTAATTATATGAGCCAATTCTCTCTAATAAATTCCCTTTCATACATATATGAAATATATGTATCCTATTGTTTCTGTCCCTCTGGAGAAGGCAAATGTATTATATAAGATGAAATAAAATAAACATCAACATTTGATTATATTTTGTAATATATTTCCTCTTTTTGGGGCCATTGTAGGTACTCATTGTTTGTTAATTGCATGGATGGATGAATAAATAAATAAATGTCAAAATGCTCATAGTTTTAAAATGCATTGTTTATGAGAAAGTTGCTAAGAGAGGCCAGGTGCAGGGGCTCATGCCTATAATCCTAGCACTTTGGGAGGCTAAGGCGGGTGGATCACGAGGTCAGGAGTTTGAGACATGCCTGGTCAACATGGTGAAACCCCATTTCTACTAAAAATACAAAAAATTAGCCTAGTATGGTGGTGCATGCCTGTAATCCCAGCTACCCGGGAGGCTGAGGCAGGAGGATCACTGGAGCCTGGGAGGCAGAGGTTGCAGTCAGCCAAGATGGCCCCACTGCACTCCAGCCTGGGTGACAGAATGAGGCAACGTCTCAAAAATAAATAAATAAATAAATAAATAAAAAGAGAATAGCTAAGAGAGTAGATTTTAGATGTCTCAGTATAAGAAAATAAGTACATGAAGTGATGCATCCATTTTCTTTTTTGAGACGGAGTTTCACTCTTGTTGCCCAGGCTGGAGTGCAATGGCACGATCTCAGCTCACTGCAGCCTCCACCTCCCAGGTTCAAGCGATTCTCCTGTCTAAGCCTCTTGAGTAGCTGGGACTACATACAGGCTTGCACTACTACGTCTGGCTAATTTTTGTGTTTATAGTATAGATGGGGTTTCACCATGTTGGCCAGGCTAGTCTTGAACTCCTGATCTCAAGTGATCTGCCTGCCTTGGCCTCCCAGAGTGCTGAGAGTACAGGTGTAAACCACTGCAACCAGCCTTGTGATGCATCTATTTTTTATTGGTACACAATATTTTACATATTTATGGGGTGCATATGATGTTTTGTGACATGCATAGAATGTGTAAGCACCAACTCAGAGTATTTGAGGTATCATCACTTTGAATATTTATCATTTCTATGTGTTGGGAATATTTCAAGTCCTCTTTTCTAACTACTTTGAAATATATATACCACTAGGTGCGGTGGCATGTGCCTGTAGTCGCAGCTACTCAGGAGGCTGAGTTGGGAGGATTGCTTGAGCCCAGGAGTTCTGGGCTGTACTGTGCTATGCTGATCGGGCGTCCACAGTAAGTTCGGCATCCATCTGGTGACCTCCTGGGAGTGGGGGACCACTAGGTTGCCTAAGGAGGGGTGAACCAGCCCAGATCAGAAACAGAGGAGGTCAAAACTCCCATGCTGATCAGTAATGGGATCATGCCTGTGAATAGCCACTGCATTCCAACCTGGGCAACATAGTGAGACCCCATCTCAGAAAAAGAAAGAAAAATACATACCTTCTTGTTTACAAATGGCCAACAAATATATGAAAAAATGCTCAACATCACTAATCAGTAGGGCAATTGAAATCAAAACCACAATGATGTATATGTTAATTAGCTTGATTTAATCATTCCACAATGTATATATTTATTAAAACATTACATTTTACTCCGTGAGTATATATTTTTGTGAATTATAAAATAATAATTTTTAAATGATTTGATTTGGACAAAAGCTATGAACAGATATACCACCAAAGGAGTTATGGAATGTCATGGCATCATCTAAATGGATGTTCAGTGTTCATTAGTCAGGAGGAAAATGCAAATTAAAACCACAAAGAGGGCTGGGTGCAGTGGCTCATGCCTGTAATCCCAGCACTTTGGGAGGTCAAGATGGGCAGATGATTTAAGTCCAGGAGTTCAAGACCAGCCTGGGCAAAAAAAACAAAAATTAAATTAACCAAGTATGGTGGTAGGCACAGGTTGTCTCAGCTACTCAGGAAGCTAAGGTGGGAGGATGGCTTGAGCCCAGGCGGTTGAGGCTGCCATTATACTCCAACCTGAGTGACAGAGTGAGACCCTGTCTCAGAAAATAAAAAACAAAAATAAATAAAACTGCAATGAGATACAAAACCCTTATTAGAAAGGCCAAAATTTTTAAGTCTCATCATACCAAGTGTTAGCAAGGTATGATGCAACTGGAATTCCATACACTGTGAATGGAAATATAAAAGCTCTAACATCTTTGGAAAATAGTTGGACACTTTCTTAAAAAGTTACAGGTACACCTACCATATAACCTAGGCATTCAACTCCTTATTATTTACCCAAGAGAAATGAAAGTGTATATCCATATTAAGATTTTTATATAAATAGTAGCTTTATCAGTAAGAGCAAAAGTGGAAACAGCCCATGTCTGTCCACAGATGAATAGATTAAAACATTGTGTTTATATCTATACAACAGATTACTACTCGGAAATTCATGAATGAACTACTGATATCTACTACAGTATAGACAAATATTAAAAAAATGCAGAGTGAAAGAGGCCAGACCACCCATCCTAGAAAAAAACAGTTCATACTGTGTGATTCCATTTGTGTGAAATTTTAGAAAATGCAGACTAGTCTATAGTGAACAGAAAACAGATCAGAGGTGGCTTGGGTGTAGGGGAATGGGGTTGGTAGGAGGGCGTGATATCAAATCTTTATGAGGAAACCTGGGAGTGATGGATAAGTTTGCTTTCTTTAAAAAAAAAAAAAATGTTTTTCTGTTTTAGAGACAGGGTCTGGCTCTTTTTGCCCAGGCTGGAATGCAGAGGCGTGATCATAGCTCACTGCAGCTTCAAACTCCTGGCTTTAAGCTATCCTCCCACCTCAGCCTCCCAAGTAGCTGAGACTACAGGCTCGTGCCACCACACTTTAATTAGTTTTAAAAACTAATTTTTGTATATATTGGGTTTCACTCTGTCTCTCAGCCTGGCCTCTAAGTCCTGGTCTCAAGTGATCCTCCCAACTTGGTTTCCCAAAGTGCTGGGTTACAGACGTGAGCACCATGCGCAGCCTTAAATTCACTATTCTGATTATGGTGATGGTTTTATAGATAAGTTTAAATTTACTAAACTGTATACGTTTTGTTTTTTAGATGGAGTCTTACTCTGTTGCCAGGCTGGAGTGCAGTGGCACCATCTCGGCTCACTGCAACCTCCGCCTCTTGGGTTCAAGGGATTCTCTTGCCTCAGCCTCCTGAATAGCTGGGACTACAGGCGTGCACCACCATGCCCAGCTAATTTTTGTATTTTAGTAGAGATCGGGTTTCACCATGGCCAGGATGGTCTTGATCTCTTGACCTCGTGATCCGCCCGCCTTGGCCTCCCAAAGTGCTGGGATTACAGGTGTGAGCCACTGCACCCGGCCACTACATTGTATGCTTTTAATGTGCACAATTTATTATAAGCTAGTTATACTTATAAAATAATTTTTAATTACTTTTTTAAAGATGCGAGAAAAAAACATTAAAGAATAGAACAGGAAAAGTTCTTACTTTCTGAGACTGTCTCAGATTACGAGGTTACAAAGATGGGTAAACACATATATTACCTCTTGTCACGATCTACAGACCACTCAGGTGACAGTAAAAAACTCCTTTTTTTTTTTTAAGAGATGAAGTCTCACTCTGTCACCCAGAGACTGGATTGCAATGGTGCAATCACATCTCACTGCAGCCTCAACATCCCATGCCTGAGCGATCCTCTCCTACCTCAGCCTTCTGAGTAGCTGGGACTACAGGAGCATACCACTATGCCCAGTTAATTAAAAAAAAAAATTTTGGAGAACGATCCAAGATGGCCGATCGCTAACATCCCGGGATTGCAGCTCTCAGGGAAGGCGCGGAGAACTAGAGGACGCCACACTTTCAGACAAAGTCTGGTCGCTCACGAAGCAGAAGATCCCCCAGTGGTGGAAACACACGAGTCGCCAGCGCGACTCTGGTGGTCGGCGCAGCGGTTCCGCCGGCACCTCGATGCGGCAGCTGGGCGCAGAGTAAACAGGACCGGTTCCCCTTCTGACCGAGGTTTGGAGCCCGGGGAAGGCAGAGTCGCCTACTACGGAAACAAGAAGGAAGCCCGACAGGAGAATCCTGGGCAGAAAAGCACCATCAGTTTTAACGCCGCTGCTCTGGCCCTGGGAACTAACAACCTGGACGCCCACTCAAGAGACCTAATTTGAAAGTTGGTAATTTCAAAGACGACAGGAGGATACATTTACAATGACGGGAAGAAACCACCGTAAAAAAGCTGAGAATACTCAAAATCAGAACGCCTCTCCCTCTAAAGATGATCACAGCTCCACATCAACAATGGAACAGGCTTGATGGAGAACGAGCGCATCCCAATAACAGAATCACTCTTCAAGGAATGGATAATAACAAACTTCGGTGAGTTAAAAGAACATGTTGTAGCCCAACATAAAGAAACTAGGAACTTTGAAAAAAGATTTGATGAAATCCTATTGAGAATAGACAACTTAGAGAGGAGTATGAGTGAATTAATGGAACTGAAGAATACAATACAGGAACTCGGAGAAGTATGCACAGGTTTAAACACTCGAATTGTTCAAGCAGAAGAAGGGATATCAGAGGTCAAAGTCCAACTTAATGAAATAAAACATGAAGAAAAGATTAGAGAAAAAAGGATAAAAAGGAATGAGCAAAGTCTCCAAGAAATGTGGGACTATGTGAAAAGACCAAATTTACGTTTGATAGGTGTACCTGAATGCGACAGAGAGAATGAATCCAAGCTGGAAAATACCCTTCAGGATATTATTCAGGAAAATTTTCCTAAACTAGCAAAGCAGGTCAACATTCAACCCCAGGTAATACAGAGAACACCACAAAGATATTCCTCAAGAAGAGCAACCCCAAGGCACATAATCGTTAGATTCACCAGGGTTGAAACGAAGGAGAAGATACTAAGGGCAGCCAGAGAGAAAGGTCAGATTACCCACAAAGGCAAGCCTATCAGACTTACAGCAGATCTCTCGGCAGAAACTCTACAGGCCAGAAGAGAGTGGGGGCCAATATTCAACATCCTCAAAGAACAGAACCTTCAGCCCAGAATTTCATATCCAGCCAAACTAAGCTTCACAACTGAAGGAAAAATAAAATCTTTTATGAACAAGAACTCAGAGATTTTATTACCACCAGGCCTGCTTTACAAGAGCTTCTGAAAGAAGCATTACACACAGAAAGAAACAACCAGTATTAGCCTTTCTAAAAATACACCAAAAAGTAAAGAGCACCAACATAAAGAAGAATTTACACCAACAAATGGATAAAACAGCCAGTCAACATCAAGTGGCAGTAACCCTAAATTTAAATTGACTGAATTCCCAATCAAAAGACACAGCCAAAACCCAACGGCATGTTACATCCAGACCTGTTTCACATGCAAGGATACACAAAGACTCAAAACAAAGGGATGGAGAAAGATTTACCAACCAAATGGAGAGCAAAAATAAATAATAAATAAATAAAAAGCAGGAGTTGCAATTCTTGTATCGGATAAAATAGATTTTAAAGCAACAAAGATATAGTGGTAAAAGGATCAATGCAACAACAAGAGCTAACGATCCTAACACCCAGATAGGAGACTTAGATTCAATGAGACAGAAAATTAATAAGGATATCAAGGACTCGAACTCAGATCCAGAACAAGTAAACTTAATAAATATTTATAGAACTCTCCACTTCAAATACACAAAATATACATTCTTGTCAATACCACATCACACCTACCCATAAGTTTAAATGAAACATTGATTGGCCATTATTAATACCCAATTTTTTTCAAAATAAAGCAATATTTCCATTTACTCTCCCTCTTTCTCTTCCTCTTTCTTCCTCTCCTTTACTTATTATTTTTTTTTTCTTTCCTTCTCTCAAAAAAAAAGAAATCAACTTGTAAACCTCTAGATCCAGGTCGGCAATGTCTCTTTCATTGCTTGATTTCCTTTCTTCCCTTCCCTCCCTCCCTCCCTCCCTCCCCGCTTCCTCCCTTCCTTCCTTCCTTCATCCCTTCCTTCCTCCCTACCGTCCTTATTCCCTTCCTTCCTGCCTTCCTCCCCACCCCCCCAAAAAAAAAAAAAAATTTAGAGACACGATTTTACTGGATTTCCTAGTCTGGTCTCAAACTCCTGGCCTCAAGCAATCCGCCCACCTCAGCCTCCCAAAGTGCTTGGATTACAGACATGAGCCACCACACCCAGCCAAAAAATACTTTTAAAGAGATAAGCAAATTTGTTAAGAGAATAGATCCTGGCTGGGTACAGTGGTTCACACCTGTAATCCCAGCACTTTGGGTGGCCAAAGTGAAAAGAATATCATGTATACAAATAATCATGTCCTCAGTCAAACTAGCCTTTTTTTATTTTTTAATTTTCGTTTTTATTTTTTGAGAAGAGTTTCGCTCTTGTTGCCCAGGCTGGAGTGCAATGGCATGATCTCTGCTCACTGCAACCTCTGCCTCCTGGGTTCAGGCGATTCTCCTGCCTCAGCCTCCTGAGTAGCTGGGATTACAGGCATGCACCACCATGCCTGGCTAATTTTGTATTTTTATTAGCGACGAGGTTTCGCCATGTTGGCCAGGCTGTTCTCGAACTCCTGACCTAAGGTGATCTGCCTGCCTCAGCCTCCCAAAGTGATGGGATTACAGGTGTGAGCCACCACACTCAGCCAAACTAGCCTCATTTCAAAAGCTTAAGAGCCACATGTAGTCAGTGACTACACACAGGTATAGAACATTTCTATCACGCAGTCTGTTTATTGGACAGCCCTGCTCTAAGTACCTCCTGATTTAAAGTAGACTAAACTTGCATAAAATCGAATTTCCTACATACTTTCATAGTGGCCAATTTCCCCTGATTACGTTTTGTTTTGTTGTTTGGTTGTAAGGTAAATACATGTTTTCTTTTAAGGTGTGCAGGTATCAATATTATCATTTTTATTTTGTTTTACAGTTGTTTTCTCTGCAATGATATTTGGGACTATTACAAATCAAGATCTGCCTGTGATCAAGTGTGTTTTAATCAATCATAAGAACAATGATTCATCAGTGGGGAAGTCATCATCATATCCCATGGTAAAGTAACATTAAAATTATACCTTTAGCTGCTTTTCCCTAGAGACCATAATTTGTAAGTTATTGAAGTCCACCATGGCTCAATGGGCTTCTCTTTATGTATTTAAGTGTATAATGTCCTCACACCTGGTACCGATAGAGCATCTATACTCCTAGCTCCCTGGCATTCCATTTCTTTAAGAACCATATTCTTCGTATGAGGATTTAGGAAGGATACTGATTGATAACCAGAGTGAAGAAGTAATGAGTAGAGTCGTCCATTGGTATACAGGGAGGATTGGTTCCAAGACTCCCACTAATACCAAAATCCATAGGTATTCAAGTCCCTGATATAAAATGGCTCAGTATTTGCATGTAACCTATGCACATTCTATGTATTTTTGAGATGGGGTTGCATTCTGTACACCAGGCTGGAGTGTAGTGGCATGATCACGGCTCACTGCAGCCTCAACCTCTCAGGCTCAAGCAGTCCTCCCACTTTGGCCTCCCGACTAGCTGGCCCTAAAGGCACATGACAGACACCACACCTAGCTTTTTTTTTTTTTTTCCCAGAGACAGAGTCCCACTCTGTTGCCCAGGCTAATCTTGAACTCCTGGGCTCAATTGATCCTCACACCTAAGCCTCCCAAAGTGCTGGGATTACAGTCCTGAGCCACCAGGCCTGACCCTTCCATATACTTTTAAAGTTATCTCTATGTTACTTATAATACCTAATTCAATGTAAATGCTTTATAATACCTAAACAACTGTGTGAATAGTTGCTATACCTATTGTTTAGGGAATAATGACAAGGGAAAAAGTCGGTACATATTCAGTACAGATGCAACCCCATTTTTGGGGGAGATGTTTTCAATCTGTGGTTGGTTGTATCCTCGGATGCAGAACCCATGGTTACAGAGGGCTGACTGTATTTTATTTTCTCCTTAAAGAGAATCCAGGCTTTTCTCCCAAGCCTGAATTTCTCACTTCCAGCTGCCCCCAGTATTGTAGGTAGATTTTCCATTTGCGTGTCAAAATTCACCTATATCATTTATTTTATTTCATTTCTATTTCCCCAAGCCTGCCCTTATTCTTGTATTAACTGATTTCTATTCATGCCCCTGTCTAGTCCTCAGGCTTTGAAGCTCAGCATCATGTTGGACTACTTTCTTTCTACTACTTTCACGTTCAGTCAGTTACCAAGTGTTGTCGACTCCCTTCAGTAGTTCTCATATAATCATCTCATATTCTCTAGTCTCACTGCCACTTCCCTAATTCAAGCCCTCTTAGTTAACTCCCTCATAATCACAGTAATATCTTTTTTTTTTTTTTTTTGAGACTGAGTTTCGCTCTTGTTACCCAGGCTGGAGTGCAATGGTGTGATCTCGGCTCACCGCAACCTTGGCCTCCTGGGTTCAGGCAATTCTCCTGCCCCAGCCTGTAGCTGGGATTACAGGCACGTGCCACCATGCTCAGCTAATTTTTTGTATTTTTAGTAGAGACGGGGTTTCACCATGTTGACCAGGATGGTCTCGATCTCTTGACCTCGTGATCCACCCGCCTCGGCCTCCCAAAGTGCTGGGATTACAGGCGTGAGCCACCGCGCCTGGCCCCATAGTGATATCTTAAGTAGCCTCTTCCTGCTACAGCTCATTTCAGAGATAGCTACTGGGCTAGCCTCCTTGAAGCAGGCACAGCCTTCCTCCCCTGCCTGGCTCTGAACCCTCTGTGATTTCCTATTACTTAGACCGATAATGAGATTGCTCAATAATCTGGCTCTGGCTCCTTCAAGTTCTGACCTTGTTTTTCATTCCTCCTCTCTCTTATGCTATTCCCACCCCTCTATTTTAAAAACACATATTTAGTAAATTTATTCAAGGGAAGCTTAAGTGATAGAGAACTGAAAATAGCAGAAATCCAGGTGTGGTGGCTCACACGTGTAATCCTAGCACTTTGGGAGGCCAAGGCGGGCTGATGGCTTGGGCTCAGGAGTTTGAGACCAGCCTGAGGAACGTAGTGAAACCCTGTTTCTATCAAAAAACAACAACAAGAACAAAACTAACTGGTCATGGTGGCACGCACTTGTGATCCCAGCAACTTGTGAGGCTGAGGTGGAAGGATCATCTGAGCGAGGGAGGCAGAGGTTGCAGTGAGCCAAGATTGCACCACAAGATTGCACACCAGCCTGGGAAACAGAGAGAGATGTCTATCTCAAAAAAAAAAAAAAAAAAAAAGAAAGAAATCTACGTACAACAAAAAATGCACATAAATTAGCCAACTCTGCAGACATTTCCAGTTGAGGGTTCATACAAATATATAGTCACCCTTTTTTCTTTTACATAGGTATAACACAGAAATACATGATATGATGACCTGACCCTTCCCCCGCATAAGTCAGATATATCAGAGATATTCCGAAGTTTTAAAAACAGCATGAAACAAGTTTCCATAACAACATTCTACATGAATATAAAGAAGTACATGGAGGCCGGGAGCAGTTGCTCATGTCTGTAATCCCAGCACTTTGGGAGGCTGAGGTGGGAGGATCACGAGGTCAAGAGATCGAGATCATCCTGGCCAACATGGTGAAACCCTGACTCTACTAAAAATACAAAAATTAGCTGGGCATGGTGGCGCACACCTGTAGTTCCAGCTACTCGGGAGGCTGAGGCAGGAGAATTGCTTGAACCCAGGAGGCGGAGGTTGCGGTGAGCCGAGATTGCGCCATTGCACTCCAGCCTAGGTAACGAGATTGCGCCATTGTACTCCGGCCTGGGCAACAATAGCAAAACTCCGTCTCAAAAAAAAAAAAAAACCATGCCAGAAGCATGGTTGGTGTTAATTTTTCAATAAGTATTGGTATCATAACACGTGAGCGTGTTAATAATTAAGGCATTTTGCATGCACAATATTTCAATGTGGGCAAAACAATTTTAATATTTGCTATGATGTTTTAAACTTTTAGTGTCTTTTCGATGTAAGAAAATAGCTGCACACATATAAGTGTTTTCATATAAAAACACAACCTTAAATTAATGATGATTGGTCTTGGTTAATAATAATAAATCAATTCCTGACCTCAAGTGATCTGCCTGCCTCAGCCACCCAAAGTACACAGGCATGAGCTACTGTGCCTGGCAACCTCCGCCTCCTGTATTCAAGTGATTCTCCTCACTCAGCTTCCAGAGCAGCTAGAACTACAGGCATGTGCCACCTCACCCGCCTAGTTTTTTTTTTTTTTTAGTAGAGATGGGGTTTCACCATGTTGGCCAGACTGGTCTCAAACTCCTGACCACAGGTGATCCGCCCGTCTTAGTCTCTCAAGGTGCTGTGATTACAGGCGTGAGCCAACTGTGCCCATCTAGGAATTGCATTTCAGCATGAGCTTTGGAGTGGACACACATCCAAACCATATTACCAACTATTACATGTTCTTCAAATTTGCTTTTTTTTTTTTTGAGATGGAGTTTCGCTCTTGTTACCCAGGCTGGAGTGCAACGGCGCCATCTCGGCTCACTGCAACTTCCGCCTCCTGGGTTCAGGCAATTCCCCTGCCTCAGCCTCCTGAGTAGCTGGGATTACAGGCACGCGCCACCATGCCCAGCTAATTTTTTGTATTTTTAGTAGAGACGGGGTTTCACCATGTTGACCAGCATGGTCTCGATCACTTGACCTTGTGATCCATCCGCCTTGGCCTTCCAAAGTGCTGGGATTACAGGCATGAGCCACCACGCCCAGCCAAATTTGATTTTAAGAAATGACTGTACTAAGGCACCAAGTATTCACAGCACCTTGAGAGATGTACTGATTTTTTTCCCTATCAATGATTAGAGAGCATAGGCAGGCAATCCCCTATAACTCTGAAATTATCTCTCCTTACCAAATAGGTTACAAGTTCATTTATACCTTCCTCCCTCCAGAAAGTCAACGCTTCATTTAATGTCACATTCCTCCTGACCAGATTTTGTACCATTGCGGCATAGCCTAAACAAAAGAAACGTAATAAAAACAAAAAGTGTCCACTATGGTTTAATGATGGGTTTTCTGGCTGTGAAGAACCAAAGTCACTGGAGTTGAGCAAATGTGTTTGACAATCTGACCTCATATTTCAGGTGGTGGCCTGCTCAACCCAGCTCATTTTCTTTATTTGCCATGTCCCACCCCACACTTCTACAGAATGAGTCATTGATTTGCTTTGTTTTGTTTTTTTCTGTAACAAGGATTTGGGAAAGAATGATGGACTTTGTGTGACAGACCATTTTACATGCTTTCTCTGGCGTTTCCACAGCTTGTGCAGCTGTTTTACTTATGTAAGCAGACAACTGTATTAGAGATTTCTTAGGCAACTTCATGCCCTCATTATTAGCGATACTTGTTACAAGATCAATAGACTGATCTCACTGTTATTATCAAAGTCCTATTTTTTTTAAACATTGTTTTCGATACCACATTCTCTTAAATTCCAGTGCCTCATGGCACCGTGGGACTCAGCTCTGCCAGGTGGTGAAGAACCTGGCCTGGACTTCAAGGGATTTCACCATGTTGGCTACTCTGGTCTCGAATTCCTGACCCCCTGCCTTGGCCTCCCAAAGTGCTGGGGTTGCAGGTGTGGGCCACCACACCCTGCCTCCTCTTCTTGTAAGGACACCAGTCATACTGGATTTAGGAACAACCCCATTTTAACTTGATTACCGATGTAAAGACCATCTTCAGGCCGGGCGTGGTGGCTCACGCCTGTAATCCAACCACTTGGAGGCCAAGGCAGGGGGATCACCTGAGGTCGGGAGTTCAAGACCAGCCTGACTAACATGGTGAAACCCTGTCTTTAAAAAAAAAAAAAGACCATCTCCAAATAAAGTCACATTCTGAGATACTGAGGGTTAGGACTTCAACATATGAATTTGCAGAGGCAGGGGGACACACACCATAACAGTCTGTACAACATTTTAGAAATGCAGCCCAAAGTTATTTATCTTTTCTTTAGAGAATTATAATTAATAGGACCTTCGGTCTGCAGTGTGTTCTCAGTGGGTTCCAGCTTGCATGGGTGTCGTGTGCAGCATGTCAGAATGCTTGTGTTTGATAAAGTTTTGTTATGGAGAATGGGAGGCCTTAAACCTGCAATTTTCATGAATTCACTTTGTTCTATCTACAACGTAGGTGATGGAATCCCCAGAAGACCTCGGGTGTGCGTTGAGACCGCAGAGCGCAGGGACAGTGTATGAGGCTGCCGCAGTGGAAGTGGAGGCGTCTGCCTCCATCACACTGCAAGTGCTGGTCAACACCCCTGGGAACATTTCCTGTCTCTGGGTCTTTAAGCACAGCTCCCTGCATTGCCAACCACATTTTGATTTACAAAACAGGTAAGTGGAGGAATACCTTCTTGACATAAAATGTGGTTCATCTGGAATTCCTTTTCAAATTTCTGCCCAAGTTTATTGTAAATCTATTTTTTTTTTTTTTTTTTTTTGAGTCAGGGTGTCTCTCTGTCACCCAGGCCAGAGTACAGTGGCACAATCTTGGCTCACTGTAGCCTCGACCTTCCAAACTCAAACAATCCTCCCACCTCAGTCCTCCCAAGTAGCTGGGACTACAGGAGTGTGCCACCGCACCTGGCTAATTTTTAAAATTTTTTGTAGAGACTGTGTTTCACCATGTTGTCAAGGCTGATCTTGAACTCCTGGGCTTAAGCAATCCACCCACCTTGGCCTTCAAAAGTGTCAGGATTACAGGCGTGAGTCACAGCGCCTGGCCTCGGCCTGTTTTTTGTAACTCTTGTCTTCAGAGAAATAACAAACTAAAAATATAGTTAAGGCATCAATACATGACATTACATATCTGTCAAATCCCATAGGATGTACAACACACAAAAAAATGCGAACTATGAACTTCATTTTATTTTTTGAGACAGAATCTCATTCTGTCACCCAGGCTGGAGTGCAGTGGTACGATTTTGACTCACTGCAACTTCTGCTTCCCAGGTTCAAGCGATTCTCCTGTCTCAGCCTCCTAAGTAGCTGGGATTACAGGTATGTGCCACCACAACCAGATAATTTTTGTATTTTTAGTAGAGATGGGCTTCCCCCATGTTGGCCAGGCTGGTCTCAAACTCCTGACCTCAGGTGATCCTCCCACCTCGGCCTCCCAAAGTGCTAAGATTACAGGCATGAGCCTCTGCTCCCGCTCCAGGCCCAAACTGAACTTTAAAATTGGTTCATCAATTGTAACAAACATATTACACCTGTGCAAGATGTTAATAATAAGGGAAACTGCGTGTGGTGGGAAGGGCATATATGGCATCTTTCTGTGTCTCCTGCTCAATTTTTCTGTAAATCTAAAACTGCTCTAAAAAGTAAAGTCAGCCGGGTGCAGTGGCTCTCATGCCTGTTATCCCAGCACTTTGGGAGACCAAAGTGGGCAGATCACCTGAGATCAGGAGTTTCAGATGAGCCTGTTCAACACGGTGAAACCCTGTCTCTACTAAAAATACAAGAATTAGCCAGGTGGGATGGTATGTGCCCGTAATCCCAGCTACTTGGGAGGCTGAGGCAGGAGAATTGCTTGAAGTCAGGAGGCAGAGATTGCAGTGAGCCAAGATCGCACCATTGTACTCCAACTGGGACACAAGGCAAGACAAAAAAAAGGAGAAAAAAGAAAAAAGTAAAGTCTATTAATTTAAGCCTACACACACATACACATAGACACACACACACACACACACACACACACAGGTATATAGAAAGCAGTGAGTGGCTGGCAAAATGTAAAACAAATAGTGAAAATAATATTTTGGAATTTTCTTTTTTCTTTAAATCTTTTTACCTTTTTTACGATGAAGGACTATATTTGGGCTTTTGTGTTTTGTTTCGTTTTGTTTTGAGATGCAGTCCTGTTCTGTTGCCCAGACTGGAGTGCTGTGGCAGGATCTCAGCTCACTGCAACCTCTGCCTTTCAGGTTCAAGTGATTCATTCTCGTGCCTCAGCCTCCTGAGTAGTGGGCACTCACCACCATGCCTGGTTAATTTTTAATTGTATTTTATTTTTAGTAGAGACGGGGTTTCACCATGTTGGCCAGTCTGGTCTCAAACTCCAAACCCTTGATAGGGTCTTGGAGAATGTCTCTGTGATCGACTTGAACCAGTTATGTATTTTAAGGTCAAATACACTCTTCTCTTAAGTGATTTGCAGGACAGTGAATATAGTTCTGAAGTTTAGTTCTAAATCTTGGAACACATTCGTTTTCCTTTCCTCTTTTGAAATTGTATCATTTCTTGTTTTTTGGCTACAAAAGTGCTGGATTTACAGGCATGAGCCACTGTGCCAGCCACATTTTTTCATTTTATTGGAAAAGCATCTTAATATGTTGCCCAGGTTAGTCTTGAACTCATGGCCTCAAGCAATCCTCCCACCTTGCCTCCCAAAGTGTTGCGACTGCAGGTGTGGTGGCTCACACCAGGCGAATGGTTCAGAGAAAGGAAGCATATCATCAAAATAGATCTGCAGAAGCCAGTCAAGTATATATCCTACTAATTACTGTGTTTATGAATGCAGGCCCATGTACTCTTGGACCTGCTTGCTGCTTTAAAGCAGGGCTTCTCGAATATAACATGCATTTGGACTGCCTAGGGATCTTGTTTAAAATGCGGATCCTGATGAGTAGGTCTGAGTGGGGCCTGAGATTCTGCATCGTTGTCAACTCGCTGCTGATGCTAACATTGTTGGTGAAAGATTACACTTTGCACAGTTAAGGGTGTAAAGGTCAGAAGGTGTCAATTTAAATCCAGCATCACTCAACAAAGTGCTAGGAGTACTGTCAGCTTTAAAGAGAGAAGACAGTACCAAATACACATCATAGTTATCGCTCGGAAGAGAATGCCCCAACCCAATTTATCTTCACCAATTATCTGAAAAGTTAAAAATCCTGACACTGAGACATCTTTCTCCTACATCTAAGTGATATTCAGTGTAATTATTACTCCATAGGAACATGCCTTTTGTCAGATTTTGTTTGAGTTCTTTCATTTAGACAGAGAAAGGCACAAACTAGGAGAACATTTTTTTAAATCTCAGCTTTCTGTGAATGGGAAGCTGAGGCTGATGACCAGGTGACTGGACACATGTGATCACAAAGGGTGCTTTGTCATGGAAGGAAATGGCATGTCACTGCCAAAGAGACTGTATCACCAACGCCGTGTGTGTGTGTGTGTGTGTGTGTGTGTGTGTGTCTGTGTGTGTGTTTTAATTTTTAAAAAATAGAGGTGGGGTCTCACTATGTTGCCCAGGCTGGTCTTGAACTCCTGGGCTCAAATGATCCACCAGCCTCAGCCTCCCAAAGTTCTGGGATGACATGTGTGAGCCATTGCTCCCGGCTTACTGTGCATTTTGTTGTTGCTGTTTTGGTTTTTTTTTTTTTTTTTTTTTTTTTAGATACAGTTTTAATCTTATTGTGCAGGCTAGAGTGCAGTGGTGCAATCTGGGCTCACTGCAGTCTCTGCCTCCTGGGTTCAAATGATTCTCCCAAGTAGCTGGGATTACAGGCTCCCACTGCCACGCTCAGCTAATTTTTTTTTTTTTTTTGAGATGGAGTCTTGCTTTGTCGCCCTGGCTGGATGCAATGGCACGATCTTGCCTCACTGCAACCTCTGCCTCCTGGGTTCAACTGATTCTCCTGCCTCAGCCTCCGGAGTAGCTGGGATTACATGTGTATGCCACCATGCCCGGCTAATTTTTGTGTTTTTAGTAGAGATGAGGTTTCACCATGTTGGTCAGGCTGGTCTCGAACTCTTGACCTCGTGATCCGCCCACCTTGGCCTCCCAAAGTGCTGGGATTACAGGTGTGAGCCACCGTGCTCGGACTAATTTTTGTACTTTTAGTAGAGACGGGGTTTCACCACGTTGGCCAGGCTGGTGTCAAACTCCTGACTTTAGGTGATCTGCCTGCCTCGGCCTCCCAGTCGTGAGCCACTGCACCCAGCTTACTGTGCATTTTTAGATGGGAGTTTTCCCTCCTAGAAGCTCAGGGAAGGTGAGATGATGGCATGGTAATGGAGCTCTCCCATCCTCAAGGATGACAGGTTAAAAGTCAAGGTCCAACAAGCAATGTCCAGGCAGAGTGCTGGGCACATGACAGAGCTGTGTGCCTCTGTGCCAGTCAGGGAACACTGGGCCTACCAAACTACCATCTTAGTCACTATGATTTTCCAAAATAACTAGTTCTTTTTCCTGTTTTGCAGAGGAGTTGTTTCCATGGTCATTTTGAAAATGACAGAAACCCAAGCTGGAGAATACCTACTTTTTATTCAGAGTGAAGCTACCAATTACACAATATTGTTTACAGTGAGTATAAGAAGTAAGTCCAGCCTGCTACTACTATTTCAGCCTGGAATACCACAGTATTTCAAAGGGGTGGTTTAGAACTCGTTAGCTTGACTGGCTCCTCTAGACTCATTCAGGTTTCCCTCGATACCTAGTTGGATTGATTAGATTCCCATCAACCATCTGTATAACCTATAGAGAACTGAGAATCACTGATGAATTACTGATGTGTGCCGTGGACTCTCAGAATGTGCCTGCTATTAAAAACACCTGGGACACCCTCTGTTCAGTAGCAGATGGCTGACAGGGAAGAATGTAAAACATTTTGACCTTGGAATCAGAAGACCTGGGTTCTAATTCGGGTTCTGACACTACCACTGATGGCAGCTCACAATTTCTCTGAGCCCCAATTTCCTTATCGGTAAAATGAGGATAAAAATACATACCTCACAGGATTGAAAGGTCTCAGCACGATCCAGCAGAACTTCTGAGATGATGAAAATGATCTTTGTCTGCTCTTTCCAGTATAAAAGCCATTGGCCACGTGGGGCTGTTGAACCCTCGAAACGTGGCTAAGGTGACTGAGGAACTAAAGTTTTAATTGCATTTAATTTGAATTCATTAAAATTGGTATTTAAATAGCCCCATGCAGCTAGCGGCTACTGTGTTGGACTGCGCAGGTCCACGTGCATGCCAGACCATATGCAAACTGTAAGGAATAGTCCAAATGTTCTCACCAAGGGAGTCAGCTGTGCAGCTGGCAGAGCCACCACCTGCAAGTGCTTTCTGGCTTCTCCTTGTTTTGTCCCCATTTCTGCATAGACTCAGTGCTGTGTGCACTGAACGTGCTGCTTCACCTTCTGTGACCAAGAAGGACTGAAGGTGGCTACATTCACTCAGGTCCTTCTGCCTTTGGGGGCCAGTGCAGTGCTCCAAAAACCCTGAGTTAATACCATTTAAAATTAGGTTCCCTCCCACACATTGACACAACTTGCCAGGCTCCCCTCTTCCTTGTCAGTGACTGAAATGCCCAAAGCGTGCCCGGCCCATAGAGGTGCCCTGGGTCAGGAATAACCACAACTGCCCTTTGCTGAAGAGCTTCTGCCTGTATCATCTCAGAGGCTCACAGCGATCCGGTATGCATGTAGATGAGAAAACAGACTCTCTGAGAGGTGTGGCGGTGGGCACAGCTGGAGGCTTTCTGCACCACACTGCCCTGGGTCTTGTGTGAGTCTGAGAGTCTTGCTGTCAGAAGAGAGAATTCGCAGAAGCGTCATCTTACTGGGGTTGGGGGTAGAGTAAGGTTCTAAAGTCAGCCTGTAAGGTATAAATTAGCTGAAGTTAAAATGACTCAAAATTTGTTCTGGAAAGTCCTTTAATTACTCTCAAGATCACAGGACCAGAGCTCTACCAGCTCCAAAGCCAAGAATCACCTTTTGCTGCTCTCTGATGTTGTTATGTTCCCTGCCCCCTTTCTGGTCCCTCACCGCCTCTGTGGGACAGTAAATATGTGCTTCAGGTTGGAAGAAGCTAAAACATTTCTTGCTCTCTCCCTCTCTTCCTCTTTCTTGTTTTTTTTTTTTTTTTTCTCTCTCTCCTTTTTAAATTTTCTTGCCAAGTACAAATAGTTGTATAAGGTAAGTGGGCATCTGCTGTGTCTCTGTTATATTTAGGGTATATTACTTTCACTTAAGATTTACAAGGTAAAAATATAATAACAATTATTCAAGTAAATTACAACTTGTTTCTAGCATTCTGCAAGGTGGTGGGGTCCAAAAAAGTAGGTGGGAGAGACGTGGCAACAGTCAGTGTGAAAAAGAGGAAAGGGTTTTTAGTCAACCGCAAGCTCACTTTAACCACCAGAGTGGCATGCTTGCTAAAAAAGTAAATTTGAACCTTGACAGTGTTCATGAAAATATAACGTCTAAACTAAGGAAATTAATAGAAGATTATTCATTTCAGTTCTACATTTTTTTTTTTCAGATGAATACTGATAAAATGGAGCAAGCAGGATAGTGGAAAACTTGGAATTCTTTAAATTAGGAACAGTTGAAGGAATCGGGGATGTTTAGCATATAGAAGGAAATATTTCAGGGAGACGATAAGATTGATTGCAGTGTCATGCAGAGGAAACCCTTTTGAGATTTGAGTCAGGAAACCTGAGTTAACTAGTTTAAGTGCCTTGTATGGTAATTATCTCCCTTGATCTCAGTTTCTGATTTTTAAATATTTGAACGATTTTGATATGGAATCAAAGCTAGACTTAAAAAATGTTGCTCTGGAGGGTAGGATAAGAACCAGTGGTTAGAAATTACAGAGAGAAAAAGTGAAAACCACTACAAGATGGAAAAAGATACTTGCAGTTCACAGTCAACAAAGGATTAGTAGTCATAATATGTAAAGAGCTTCTATAAGTCAATAAGAAAAACAGGACAAAATAAAAACCTAGTAGAAAAATGAACAAAGTACGTGAGGGGGCATTTCATTTTTGGAACATGAAACCTAAAGGGTCAAGAAACGTGTTAAAAGGTAAACTTAGACACGTTAAAGTTGTAAAGAGTATATTTGAGCAGAAAGTGATTCATGAATCAGGCAGTGCCAGATGGAAAGCAGTCGGGCGACAGTGAGGGGATTCAAGGGTAGGACCTCTTTCTCTAAGGTGTTCCCAGAAGCAAGACAGAGAAAACATTTGATTGGTTAAAGTGGACAGTCCCTCATTTAGTCAGTTTGTAGTTTCTGATTGGTTAAGCTAAGTTGCATTTTGCTGCTCATATTGAATTGGGTTTGTTTTTTGCTTTTTTTTGTTTTGTTTTTGCTTTTGTTTTGAGACGGAGTCTCACTCTTGTCGTCCAAACTGGAGTGCAGTGGTGTGATCTGGGCTCATTGCAACTTCCACCTCCTGGGTTCAAGCAATTCTCCTGCCTCAGACTCCTGAATAAACTGGGATTACAGGTGCCTGCCACCACGCCTGGCTAATTTTTGTATTTTTTGTAGAGATGGGGTTTCACCATGTTGGCCAGGCTGGTCTTGAACTCCCGACCTCAAGTGATACGCCTACCTTGTCCTCCCAAAGAGCTGGCATTACAGGCATGAGCCATCATGCCCAGCCTGTTATTTTTTTGTAGAGTTGAGGTTTCTGCATGTTACCTAGGCTAGTCTCGAACTCCTGGGCTCAAGCAATCCTCCTGCTTCACCCTCCCAAAGTGTTGGGATTATAGGTGTGAGCCACCACACCCAGCTTTTATTTTCCTGTTTTTTTTTTTTTTTTTGGGTTGGGTTTTGGTTTGTTTACATAGTAACTCAAGCTGTTAGAGCTTTCTCAGCCTGATGGCCTCCCAATTAATTATTTTAACACATGTTAAATTAATAATGGAGAAATTAAATTAAGACCTCAATGAAATACCATGTTATATCTGCTAGACTGTTGAAAATTAAGAAGTCTTGGTAAGTATATAAAGCAATAAGTGCTCTCATATCCTGATGTGTAACAAATTAGTACAACCACTCTGGAAAACAAATAGTCATTATGTGTAAGGCTGAATGTGCTCATACCATGCAGACCAGCAATTCCGCTCTTAGGCATGTTATTAAGAGTGTTATACATATGCCTCAGTACAAATGTGTGGAATGTTCAGAGCACATGGTTAGTCATACAAAAAAAACTATGGCTGAGTATGGTGGCTCATACCTATAATCTAAGCACTTGGGAGGCCGAGGCAGCAGGATCACTTGAGCCTGGGAGGCTGAAGCTGTAGTGAGCTGAGATTACACTACTGCACTCCAGCCTGGGTGTAAGAGACCCTATCTCACAAAAAAGAAAAAAAAAAAAAAAGGAAACAGACCAAGTGTCTACTGCAAGAAAATGAAAAAATAATGATATATTTACCAGTAGAATATTATTTAGCAGTAAAAAAAAAAGAGGAATAAAGCAAAGCTACATGTAAAACCATGGATGAATCAAAAACATAAGGTTGGATGAGAAAATGGAGTTATGGAAGCTACATATTGATTGATAACTCAATTTTGAAGCTCAAGAACGAAATAAATCAATATATCTTTAGCACCACATATTTATGTGGTAAAAGTACTTTGAAGAATCCCTGAATAATAAGCAAAATTCAGGATAAAGGTTACATACAGTTGTGAGATGGGGAGAAGCACAAAAGTAGATTAAAAGGTATTTATTAATATTCTAGCGATTAAGTTGGATAGTGGCTCCATAGGTATTTGTTATCATGCTTTGAAATTTACACTCCATATGGTCTTTCATATATATGCATATATATGTATAAAGCAATACATAATATTTTCAAACAAAATTTATTGTAAGGAGAGAGGCTGGAATTCAGTATAGGGAAACTTAAAGTATAGGGAAACTCTAAGAAAAAAAAGTTTGTTAAAAATTAGAATGACCCACCCTAGGAGGTAATGAACTCCAGTCCCTACTGGAGTCAAAGAAGTACAAAGTTTATGTTAGGCATAGCTGGGAGTGAAGGATGGGGTGTGTGTGTGTGTGTGTGTGTGTGTGTGGTGTGTGTCATGGTCCAGTGTGAGTGGGAGGCTCAACTAAACCTCTAAGTTCTGTTGCAATTCTAACTCCACCCTACCGTGTTTCTTCTGCCTGTCTAAATGTTAGTATATTTCTGCCTAGTTGCAGATAAAATTATAGGAAGAAAGTTGAGGTTTAAACTATGTATTAAACGAGGGTTTTAAGCCATATGTTATCTCTAGTTTCCTTTTTCCTGTGCATATCAATATTTGTATTTTCACATGGCTTCACTCGACTGCTTTAGTTAGCTGTGGATCTGTGAAATACTGAAAGAAATCGGCCAAGAGGATAAATGTTGAAGTTGACATTGCAGCCAGAGCTAAATTTAGTATAATGGTTGCTTTTCTTTTGGTGCCTTTACTATAAAATAAATAAATATGTAATGGTTGGTGGAGATGCAGAAGACACTGCTATAGTATAAAATATGAACTTTTTTTAATGACATAGAATCCTTTCTTGAGGGGGCTGCTAAGAAAATTATTTTTAAAATAGTAAAATGTTAATAACTTATGATACTTTAGATACTCTGCTTTACACATTAAGAAGACCTTACTTTAGAAAAATGGAGAACCAGGACGCCCTGGTCTGCATATCTGAGAGCGTTCCAGAGCCGACCGTGGAATGGGTGCTTTGCGACTCACAGGGGGAAAGGTATGACACGTCCACGGTAGCTGCTATTCTAATTATTTCCTTTCAGCCTTTTTCTAATGTAGCTGACATCAAGCTGTATGTAAAATTTAGTTTATGCTCATTAAAACAGGAAACTTTGGCTTCTTAAGTTTAAAGAATGATCAATATGCGGCCAGGTGAGGTGGCTAACCCCTGTAATCCCAGCATTTTGGGAGGCCGAGGTGGGCGGATCACTTGAGGTCGGGAGTTTGAGAGCAGCCTGACCAACATGGTGAAACCCTGTCTCTACTAAAAATACAAAAATTAACCAGGTGTGATGGTGGGCACCTGTAATCCCAGCTACTCAGGAGGCTGAGGCAGGAGAATCGCTTGAACCTGAGAGGTGGAGGTTGCAGTGAGCAGAGATGGCGCCACTGCACTCCAGCCTGGGCTAGAGAGTAAGAGTGCATCTCAAAAAATAATAAATAAATAAATAAATAAATAAATAAATAAAACAGAATTGTCAGTGTGGGCTTCACAGGGAGGATGAGGGAGGATTTTTTTTGGTAAGGGGCTTTTTGCAATCCCTCAAATCAACTGCAGGGCCCTTTCTGGGCATCATGCTACACAAGTCAAAGTCCCTTCACGTTCCAGGGTGTTGGCTCCCTGGGCATCTGATTGGGGAGAAAAGAAATAGACTGATTTAAAGTATAATTCTCTTATAAGAAATTCCTTGTGATTAATTGTTTAATTTGTGATTATCCTGTGTGTTCTGGAAAAGCAGTGTAATATCATTGTTTAAAGCCTTTACTATGCCTTTACTATATATAGTAAATTATATATATATATAGAATCTAGAGCCAAATAGCCTGGGTTTGAACCCTAGTTTGCTTAGCAGCAGTGTGGCCTTGGGCAAGCTACTTAACCTCTCTGTGCCTTATCAGAAGAAAGGGGATGACATGATGATTGCTATGATGATTAAATGAATTGATACACGTAAAGCACATAGAACAGTGCGTGGCAGATAGTAAGTATGGTATAAATATTTACGTAGTTTTTCATATATGCCAAAGCTGAGTTCTCACAAAATAAAAATTCATGCCGTTTGAACTAATTAAAATTTACTAAACAACTTTAAAAAAAAAGGGACCAAATAGCAGGAGAAAAAGTAACAAATGCTTTGGTCCAAAGTGGTACCAACATCCGCTTTCTCTGAGGCAGGGAGAGGGATTTTACTCTGTTGACTACCTGGGGGTCTTGGCTGACTTCCCCCATGGGTGACACCTCGGCTTTTCTCCTCTATTCCTATGGGAACTCGGGTGACTTTTGCAACTTTAGCTTCCCTCCCTCTTAACTGCATCCCCTTCAGTGCTGTGAAGAAAAGTAAGCTTACCTTGCTAAACTGCATGAAAGCCCAATTTTTCTCTTCTCTCTTTCTTCTCTTTTTTCCTTTATCTTCTTTCTTACTTTTTCTTTCTTTCCCTGTCTTTAAACAACTGCAGCAAAGAGATCACCAAACACGGACAATTTAAAACTGTTTTATTATGTAATTCTCCTTAGTGTTATTCTAATTTATTGATGAGTAACTAGGTAGCTCTCTTATGAGCTCTTGGCTGAAACCATAGATTTGGGATTGTTTACCTTTTGACCTTTCATTTACCATTTGACCATTAAACTGGCTCTAGAACTTTGTTCTCCTCTTGAGCGTTCTTTTGTAATTTTAAAACTTGTTTAGCCAAATGGTACTTATTTTCTAATTGTAGCTGTAAAGAAGAAAGTCCAGCTGTTGTTAAAAAAGAGGAAAAAGTGCTTCATGAATTATTTGGGACGGACATAAGGTGCTGTGCCAGAAATGAACTGGGCAGGGAATGCACCAGGCTGTTCACAATAGGTAACACTATAATATCACATACTTTCACTTTCGGTGACTGTTTCTTAGCAATTACCAGGGACTAACAGCAACTGCATGGGTGGTCATTCCTTCAGAAATCCTGTCGTTCCTTTAGGCCACAGTAAAAGCAATATTATGGATTCTGTAAATGCTGATTTCTTCATAAAAGAGTCAGTCTCTAAAACCTTCTTTTATTAATGTGTTTAGTAATATTTGAGACGATGCTAAAGTCTTTGTTCAGAATGCTTGGGATATCTTTTGTGTTGAGGCAAAAATCACTTTTTTTTTTCTCACTTGGGATGTTTTCATCTCCTAGATCTAAATCGAAGTCCTCAGACCACATTGCCACAGTTATTTCTTAAAGTGGGGGAACCCTTATGGATAAGGTGCAAAGCTGTTCATGTGAATTATGAATTCGGGCTCACCTGGGAATTAGAAGACAAAGCACTCCAGGAGGTAATAGGACAAATTTGTATTCTGAAAATGCAGGACCAATTAACTAATAATCCGGGTTGAAAACATTAAATGCAAATTCTTTTTTTTATTAAAACCTAGGGCAGCTACTTTGAGATGAGTACCTATTCAACAAACAGAACTATGATACGGATTCTGTTTGCTTTTGTATCATCGGTGGGAAGAAACGACACTGGATACTACACTTGTTCCTCTTCAAAACATCCCAGTCAATCAGCTTTGGTTACCATCGTAGGTAATGCAGGCGGCTCACACCATCTTTATTCCTATTTTTAGTTGCTTTAGTGTGGAATGTGAGGTATGTGGCAGAAACTCCGATTTCAGTATAATGCTACCATCAAACGCGGAGAAAGAAACTGAGTTAGAATAGCTTTGCAAGAGAATCTGCCCACCCTTTTCCTTTTCCCGTTAAACCAGGCCCGCTTGAATGCCACTGTCTTAGCACATGACACATTGTAATGTGACCATCTGTTTGTGTACTTTCATCCTCCAGTAGACTCTAAGTTCCCTAAGGACAAGGACAATTCATTCTATCCTTGTAGTCCCAGAACCTGGCACAGAGCCTGACACAAAACAAGCAATAAATACTAGTGTGTGTTTTTTTAATTTAATTTTTATTTTTTTTTAAAGATGGGGTTTCACCATGATGGCCAGGCTGGTCTCAAACTTATGACCTCAGGTGATCCACCCACCTTGCCCTCCCAAAGTGCTGGGATTAGAGGCATGAGCCACCATGCCCAGCCTCTAAATACTAGTTTTAAGAAACAACTAAATGCACCATTAGGGCAGTGAGCACTGAGAGACAGTACAAGCCCTTAGATGCGTTGACATTTTGGTGGGCTATGTAGGATCTGAAAATAACCACAATTCAGTAATCTCAGATTCGGGCACGGCCATAATGAAAACGCAAAGAAATACAGTGATGCTTTTAATAAGGAAGTGTTCCATAAGACAACCTCGCGAATATTGCTAGCCAGATTTTATTTGTTGTTTATTTGTTTATTTATTGCTCTTTTATTTGTGCCTTGAGTTTATTTTACTCTCTCTTATCAATGAAAGAACGGCGCTGGCTGAGAGCAGGGGCTTCCAGACTCTGTTAGGAGAGCCCTAGTGTATACACCGGCGTGGGGGGTCCTTCCAACCTTTGGAAATTGCAAAATCTGTAGATTTATTTATACATTTCTCTGGGAAGAGTCAATTATCTACATCCCATCCTCCCTCCCTCCCTTCCTTCCAAAATTTCTTTCAAAATTTCTTCACTTCAAAAGATGATGAGCTCAGGCTTAGAACTAGGGATAGGACTCCTGGGTTTTCACTTGGATTATCCAGTAGTGTGACCTGCAGCATGCCAACACCCGAGTTTTCCTGGGTTAAACTGATGAATGCAAGTTTATTTTGTCTTCTCAATATGTTTCCATATGAATCTCATTAATTCATAAATGTTATTTTTTCTTACAGAAAAGGGATTTATAAATGCTACCAATTCAAGTGAAGATTATGACATTGACCAATATGAAGAGTTTTGTTTTTCCGTCAGGTTTAAAGCCTACCCACAAATCAGATGTACATGGACTTTCTCTCGAAAATCATTTCCTTGTGAGCAAAAGGGTCTCAATGATGGATACAGGTGAGATCACAGAGGACTCTAAGGCATCATTTTTAGCATCATTCCCCTTGCTTGTTGCCCTTGAGAAGGACAGTTTGTGTGTGTGTGTGTGTGTGTGTGTGTGTGTGTGTGTGTGGCAGAGTCTCACTCTGTCTCCCAGGCTGGAGTGCAGTGGCACGATCTCAGCTCACAGCAACCTTCACCTCCTGGGTTCAAACAATTCTCTGCCTCAGCCTCTGGCTGATTTTTTGTGTCTTTAGTAGAGACAGGGTTTCACGATCTTGGCCAGACTGGCCTTGAACTCCTGACCTCGTGATCCACCCTTCTTGGCCTCCCAAAGTGCTGGGATTACAGGTGTGAGCCACTGTGCCCGGCCAAGAAGGACAGTTTTATACTCATGGAAGCAAGTTCACTTATTATGAGTTTAACTATTATTGAATTGAAACTGGAGATGAGAAAACAAGTAGCAGATGTGAGGATACAGTAGCAGTCTTACCATTGCTTTAGATAATATAGCCTGCTGCATGGAAACAGAAAGAACCGTATTAGCTAGTCTAGTTTGAGTCTGGTTCTATGGCATTTTCTGAGTCACAGGGTAGTTACTTCCTGTTTGAGAGTGCAGTGGATAGTTCACTGAGTCTCCCCTAAAACATTTGCAGATGATTGAGGAAGTAAAACTCCTTAAAAACAGAAGGACATTACTCATAAGTGAATTGATTTAAATTTTCAAAAAATACATGCAGAAATAACCCAATAATAAATGCTGAAGGAAAATGGAAAAATGTTTTCCTGGAGATCTGTATGAGAAACTATGCAAGATTCTTTTTTTAAAAAAATAGTAGTTTTTCTTTTCCTTCTTTCTTTTTTTTTTTTGAGATGAGGTCTTACTCTGTCACCCATGCTGTAGTACCGTGGTGTGATCTTGACTCACTGCAACCTCCACTTCCCAGGCTCAAGTGATCCTCCCACCTCAGCCTCCAAGTAGCTGAGACCACAGGCGCACACCACCATGCCTGACTACTTTTTTGTGTCTTTGGTAGAGACAGGGTTTTGCCATGTTGCACAGGCCGGTCTTGAACTCCTGAGCTCAGGAGATTCACCCCAACTGGGCCTCCCAAAGTGCTGGGATTACAGGCATGAGCCACTGAACCCAGCCACAAGATTCTCCTAAGGGAGGAATTCTCCATTCCTTCTTTGGAAAACAAAAAACAACTTTACCCTGTGTCTTCTATAGTTATGACATCTCTTATCTCTTTAATGTTGTAAAACATGGTTTTGGACTGAACTATGAGAGACTGAGATGCACATGTTATCTTTCAAACAAGTCAATGAACTAGAATAAATCATCGTTTCTCAGCATGTGGTCTGTTGATCGACTATGTAAGAATCATCTGAGCAAATGTTTAAAGTGTGTATTTCTGACTCCCAATCCAGACCTGCTGACTCAAAACTGGGGCAAAACACTCAGATTCTGCTTTTTTAATGAGAACCTTTGGTGATTCCTATCACAGGTCTAGATCTGTGCTGTCTAGTACAGTAGCCATCAGCCACATGTGGCTACTGAGAACTTGAAATGTGTCTGGTCCAAATTAAGATGTACTCTAATTGTAAAATACATGCTAGATTTTGAAGACTTAGTATGAATAAAAGGATGTAAAATATATCATTAATAATTTTCATATTGGCTGGGCTCTGTGGGTCACACCTGTAATCCCAGTACTTTGGGAGGCCAAGGCGGGTGGATCGCTTGAGCCTCGGAGTTTGAGACTAGCCTGGGCAACATGGCAAAACCTCATCTCTACAAAAATACAAAAGTGAGTTGAGTGTGCTGGTGTACACCTTTAGTCCCAGCTACGAGGGAGGTTGAGGTTGGAGGATTGATGAGCCCAGGTGGTCGAGGCTGTAGTAGCTGTGATCACGCCACCGAACTCCAGCCTGGATGACAGAGCAAGACCCTGCCACAAAAAGAAAAAAAAAATAATAATAGAATAAAAATAATTGTTATATTGGCTATATATTAAAATGGTAGTATTTTGGATATATTGCATTGAATGAAATCTATTATTGAACTTAATTTCACCTGCTTCCTTTTATTTCATGTAGCTAACAGAATTTGTAAATGATGTACAAGGCTTGCAGTTGTGACACACGTTATATTGAACTGGATAGCACTGTTATACATGAAGACTAGGAGTTCTTTTCACCTTGAGTCTGCTAAGTGTTTCATGATTATTGTGCTAACTCTTTATACCTAAAAGCGATTTGTAACTGGTCCTTGTTGGGACATTTAGAATCTCCGTGCAGGGTTTGCATGGAGTTGTCTACCCTCTCTTACTCAAACCCCCCAATGTTCAGAGCATTCATTTTTAAGGTAATTAAGAATGCAGACTTGGCCGGGCGTGGTGATTCACACCTGTAATCCCAGCAGTTTGGGAGGCTGAGGCCGGTGGATCACTTGAGGTCAGCAGTTCGAGACCAGTCTGGCCAACATGGTGAAACCCCGTCTCTAACAAAAATACAAAATACAGTCAGGTGTGGTGGTGGGTGCCTGTATTCCCAGGCTACTTGGGAGGCTGAGGCAGAATAATTATTTGAACCTGGGAGGTGGAGGTTGTAGTGAGCCAAGATCGAGCCATTGCACTCCAGCCTGGGCAACAATAGCAAAACTCTGTCTCAAAAAAAAAAAATGCAGACTGGTCTGGGAATTGACTGAAACATACTCCCCCAAACTCAGGGTTTGTCAACAGTGGCACTGCTGACATGTTGAGCTGCATAACTGTTGTGGAGGTCTGTGTGCTCTGCAGGATGCTTTCCAGCCTCCCTGGCCTCCTCCCACTGGATGCCAGGAGCACAGTCCCTTTTCTCAATGTGACAACCAAAAATATCTCGACGCTGTCAAATTGAGAAAAATAAACCCTGGCAATCTTTTTTGGGAACCTTTGTCTTAAAGGCATCACCCCATGGTCATAAGCTCTTATTTAGAACTATCGAGCTTTTTTTTTGAGACAAAGTCTTGCTCTGTCACTCAGACTGGAGTGTAGTGGCATGATCTTGGCTCACTGCAACCTCCTCCTCCTGAGTTCAAGTGATTCTTCTGCCTCAGCCTCCCGAGTAGCTTGAATTATAGGTGCCTGCCACCATGCCCGGCTAATTTTTTTTAGTTTTAGTAGAGACGAGGTTTCTTCATGTTGGCCAGGCTGGTCTCGAACGCCTGACCTCAAGTGATCCAACTGCTTCGGCCTCCCAAAGTGCTGGAATTACAGGTGCGAGCCATACCTGGCCCATCAAGCTTTTAAACGTAGAAGGTTGGGAAGTCAGCCCCTCCCTACCCAGTTGACTTGATTACCACTTGGCCTGTGTTCCGAAGGAAATCAGCGTATCACTGTCCCCTCTCTCCTTTGTATCCTCTCCCCATGTTAGATAAGCTCTTAGCATTATGGGAATCTTTTCTGAACCCGATTCAAAGAGATAAGGGCTCAATTCAGTTAAACGAATATTACTTTAATATCCTCTTGATGGGTGTGATGCTGTGAGTGGCTGCAAAATTGAATAAGGTAATGTCCTCTCCCTCTACCCTCAAAATGCACACAGACTGCTACTGTGCTACTGATATCTGGTATAACCTTTTGAGATTTTACAGAATCACCAATTGGGGTGATTGGTGATATGTCACTGATACATGGGTCATGGGTCAATGAAGTGGGCTGGTTCATTTAGTTTCATTCCATGGCCATAATCCATACCCATGACCCCAGGTTGTTATCCTATAGAGAGAGGTAGATGAATGGATTAGGAGAGATCCTGACTCCTGTAGCATTTTGTACCTCACTCATTCCTACTGATCTGGTAACAGAGTTGTATGCTGCATCTCACCAGGGAGTTCATAAACTCTAAGAATAGGTGTGCTGCCATTTGTTTACCATTATACAATGCCTTGTTCAGTGTGTGTTTAATAAATTAATGAATTCATCATCATATCTGGAATGCAGCTCACAGTGCATAGTCTGGGCCAAAGATGAGTCAATAGCATCCTCTTCACCACAAGGACCAGGCACATGGCTCTTAGCACAATGTGCAATACTCAGTGTTGATTGTATTTAAAAGTTCTTGAAGAGCTACAGTGTTTGTGTTAGTGACGTGCGTTGTTGCTACTAACAACGTACCAGGTATTGTGGGCCACTGACAACACATGCAAAGGAAAGATGGACCATCCTTCATGAAACATGCTCAAAATATTGAACAAGAAAGAAACAACGAAAAATGTGAACACACCTCTGAGTGCTCTAATGTCTTTTCCTCTCACATGAGGCTCTGTGTTGAGATGGGGATGGCAGATTAGATTATAGTCAGGGGTCATTTCAACTTTTCATTCATTTCTTGCTTTTTTTTTTTTTTCTAAGAGATGGGGTTTCACTGTTAGCCAGGATGGTCTCGATCTCCTGACCTTGTGATCTGCCCACTTTGGCCTCCCAAAGTGCTGGGATTACAGGCATGAGCCATCGCACCCGGCCTGCTTTTTTTTTGAGACGGAGTCTCACTCTGTCGCCCACGCTGGAGTGCAGTGGAATAATCCCAGCTCACTGCAACCTCCATCTCCTGGATTCTAGTGATTCTTCTGCCTCAGCCTCCCTAGTAGCTGGGATTACAGATGTGCACTGCCCCACCCAGCTAATTTTTTTGCATTTTTTGTAGAGACAGGGTTTCACCATGTTAGCCAGGCTGGTCTTGAACTCCTGACCTCAAGCGATATGCCCACCTCAGCCTCCCAAAGTGCTGGGATTACAGGCTTGAAACACTGCATCCGGCCCTTCTTTTTGCTTTTTAGAGACAGGGTTGCAAAATGTTGCCCAGGTTGGATTCTAACTCCAGGGCTCAAGTGATCCTCCTGCCTCAGCCTCCTGAGTAGCTACAACTCAGTGTGTGCCACTGCCCCCATCTTTCTTTTTGACTTTTTAATTATAGAAAGTTTCATTTACTAATAAGCTGAAATAATAGTGCATGAACATTCTTTACCTACCATC